CTAAAAGTATAGAACGCCTGCATGCAACTGCAGTTTCTGTTGATGTATTAAAAGCACTAGTGCAACCTGAAGAATCCCCAGGATCTGAGTCCTACATCTCAAAGTTGTATTATGTTGTAAGCTAGTTATTTAGGGGACTTTTGACACTGCTACCAAGAGGTTCTCCACATAAATATTAAGGGCAAAACTTTGTGTCAAAATACAAACATTTAGCAGGGACCCCAGGAGATAGCTAAACCACCTGCAAGTGACTTGTTCATTAAGTAACTGGCCCATGATACAATTCAGAATAAAAAGCATCATCTGAAGCGCAGGTAGACTCATCGTAGAAATAAAACAGATCAGGCTTTTACTTTGAAAAGCATACCGAGGCTATGTCGGACGCTGCTTATTCGACTTTGGCAAACAGTGCTCAGCAACTCAGAGCACCACGGACTGGGAGCGTCACTCATGTTCTTGTCTAGGAGTTGCAAATGGACTAGTTCTGTTCAGTTCAGTTCGTTCGAGTTTACGTTCACATTCTTTACTAATTCAAGCCAAATTTAAAGGCAGTTTCAGAAGCACTGGTGTGATTGCAAAATGTGTACCATGTAGATAATGCAGCACGCTCAGTACAACAGCATAGCACCGACTTAAGCCCCTCTGGCTATAAGACATTCCTAAAAGATCAAAAAGACTTTTTTATGTGCAGTTACAGTAATGTGTTGGGGATCATAGCTCCGTTTAAGGGCTGTTCTCTACCACCAAGCAAGAAATGAAGGGGGGGGGAAACACTTTCATGGAAAGTATGCAGCCATGTGAAAGTGTTTAATCTCTAAGCTCCTGCAGGCGCGTGCTTGGGGCGTTTAAGCATGCAGTTGGGAGCAGGCTGTCAACACTAAAAAAAAAACTGGGGACACATCTAGAGATCTATTACACGCACACATGGACATACAAAGCCTGGAATCAAAGTAATGTTTCTGTCCACAGACGCTCTTCATGCTTTTAGTCTTCTGTCACAACATGGGTCACACATTCTGCAGTGACAAGCAATCAAAGAAAAAGTATGATTCTATTGCACAGAAAAACCACACAAAGTCAATGGTTTGTATACGTCTCGTCTCTACAAGTCTTCCATCTACTTTGAGTTGAACCAGGTTTCAGTCTGTTCACCTGGGGACTTCCAATCTCAGGCAATACGAGCACTTGTTATCTAAGGGGGGCATTCCCAGGTTTGCCTAGATAACAAAGTGTGTCTGTGCTGTAGGGATAGCCCTTCATAATCCACTTTCTGCAAAATCACTAACTGTGAGGAGGACACTTTAAACAGTATATCTTCCTGGTTCTTAAAATTCTTAAAAGTGAACCTGAGACATAAAAAAAAAACAGGGAATTCTTACAAAACACGTTCCATTTAGCTCCTCCAGACTCAAGAAAATCCAAGTGATGTGCTTTTCTAAGTTAAAACAGGAATGTTTGGTTCATTTTGGGGTCCAATCTAGACATGCTTAATACGGTTTATCAGATAAATCTAGTACATAAACTGCAGCCCATCCTCAAATCCCCAGAAATCCTTGTAAAAAAAAACAACAACATTCAGGTTAGTGAGCATATCAGTCAGCAAGGGATGGATCCTCCAAAACAGGCTCCTTTCCTTCTTTTTAATGACATACACACTGTGTGTAATCAGTCTTTTCAGATAGGTGTGTGTGTTTAAAGGACAAACAGAGGCTGGGACTCTGATTATGAGGTGGAGAGAGGCCACTGCAGCTGTCATCCTCCTGAAAGCGTCTCCTCTGCTTCATTAAATATTAGCTTCTGTCTGTGTTTGGTCCTCGTGTTTGTTTCAGGCGATGGGGCAACAAGAATTAAAGCATCCTGAGGTCTCTTACTTCCTGCACGCAGAGCGAGGAGGAAAGCACTTATACGGCAACAAAATCCTCTCCGGGGAAAGGAGAGAGGGGTATGAGGGAAGAGCGAACAGAGCGACGCAGCACTTTGATTCCTGTCCCCGATGCTCTGAAAGCCAGAAATTGATAGCGGTATGTGCAGAGTTCACATGGGAGCAGGGTGCAATGATATCATGGGTAAGGTTGTGTACACAGCCTGAACTACATTATAGAAAATTAAGGAAAGCCACATAAAAAAAGACAAGGGAGACTAGATGATTCGGTCTTTTCTCTGCTGTGTAACATCCCCTGAAGTTATGGATAGATTTGAATGTGCGCCGCATTTGATGAGGAAGGAATGAAGTTTGATTGACATAAGAAATACATCATTGTTTTCCCCCCCTCTGTACATCTTATTCTGAAGATATCCTATACTTACAAGAACATTTTATACAACTGAATAAGTTACAACCAGCGGCCTGAATGTCATATTGTTGATTACAGGAACTATGGGAATGGAGTAGTCTTAAAAGAAGCTAGTTTGCAAAAAGATTTTCATGGGAATTTTAAAAAAGGACTTAAGTAGCTGACTTTCTAAGCTCTGTATACAAGTTTTCATGAAGTGGCAAGATTGTCGGTTAAGGAAAGAACAACCCAAGTTTTGAGAGTGGAAAAAAATGCAACTTGTATTTTTTCCATTCAATCCAAGCGTCCCTGGGTCAACACATGAAGAAACGAGAGACCGAATCTACGCTGATGCCAATAGCTACCCCTTGCCTAGTCCAGCCTTCAGTTTGTTGGCTTTTTCACACACGCACAAGACTTGCATGTGTGAACGCAAATACACAGATTTTCATCCCCTACTTAGCCCTATGTTTCCAGCCAGACTCTCCAAGTAAAATTTCCACATGAAGCCGGGGTGAGGGTTAGGGTTAGGGTTAGGTAAAAGCTCCTCAGTATGTTCTTCTCCACTTTTCAGTTAATACTGTGGATATGTCAAAAATAAACATTGATAGAAAGGCAAAAACTGTCATCATAACGTCAAACTCCACGCTTCATCTGCTAATTCTGTGTCGTCCCATTGAAGTCGTGTCCCACCTCCTGAGACCTCCTTTACTGTCCCACAGTCAAAGTCTTCCACTGTGAGGTGCATATGTAAACAGGCTACTCAGAAAAGGTTTCATGGGCAGCCTGTCCACAAATGTTCTAAAATGTTTCAGGAGTGCGTGGGCTTTTGTGTTCTGGCGTATTCCTTGACATTTGTAGCTGGGTCATTTTCCTTCTGCCCTCTCAAATGCTGCCAAGAAAAAAGCAGCGCAACCCGTATCCTGGACTTACATGCATAGATGCACTTGCTGTCACCTGTTTCTGTGTATCTTAGCAATAAACAAATAAAATCCCAGACGTCACTCTGTTTTCATTCTCCTTTGTCTCTCTTGCAATAACACAAGTTGCCAGACTGGTTTAAAAACCCTTCTCTTCCTTGGTTTTAGTGGCCCATCATTTCTTTTCCTTTGACACGTCACAAAAGCTGGGGGTCTCCGAGGTCACTCCCTTGACAAATGGAGCAACTCATTGTGAGGAGGAAGAAGGGAAAAGAGAATAAAAGAGTGAAAGGACATTTGTAGCTGCCAGACCGGGCGGCGACCTCGCCTTTTTGGACAAACCAACGCTTTTTTTTTGAAGACCGACATCCACTTGAGGAAACTCAAAGCTGTGCCGCACGTTTAAAGACAGCGGACTGAGAGGCCCTCTTAATGCCTGTCCATAGAATATGCTCAATCACTCATACACACACACACACACACACACACACACACACACACACACACACACACTAGCTAGCCTTCCCGTCAACCCATGGGACCTCAGTTGTCCCCCTGAAAGAGTGACCCTGACACGAGCCTCCGATTCAACCCTCAACATCCCCGCTAACATCCCGCAGACAAACACACACACACACAAACCCCCCAGAGAAAGTAGGGGGCCCCTGGGTGGGCAGGTGCTGCAGCAGCCCCACATACTGCATTCTGAAGTGTTTATGTATGCGGGTGTGCGTACGTGCATCGTGTGTGTGCGCGTGTTTGATAGCAAGGGGCCCGTTCGCCGTCTGCCAGTCCAACATGCTGCGTGCATGAAGGGCCAGACTGTGTTGCTCTTCTCCTGGGGGTTCTCGGCTGCAACAATGTGTGTGTTTGTGTGTGTTTTCGCATGTGTGTGTCCTACAAGATTTGCCTGGCCGATAGATCAATGCATCAAGGATTATGGATCAGCCTAATAGCATTATGGGGGTCAATGGGAGCGGCCGACACACCCACAGCCTCCAGGGGGTCTCGTGCCCCTCTGATGCTCTCTCCTCTCTGCAGGCGGCCCTGGCTGCATCTTCTTCTGTGTTCGGTACCCAGCAGGAAAAGCATTTAAAGCTGCACTTGGCTCGATTGTGATCTAAAAATACTTTTGTCTAATCAGCCTAAATCACAAACGGAGGCTGAAGAACAGAAGACCTGGCCATCACCACAAAAAAAAACCAAATGAAACCAAGTTTGTTTTCCAAAAGAAAGAAACTCGTTAAGATTCAGCAGTCATGAAAGAGAAGTAAAACAGCTGTTTGCAGAAGCAGGAGAAGTTTTTGGATTCATTAAGCGGGCCCATAAGCAGGAAAGGGCGGTAATGAGTGAACCCAGAGGACTTAAAAAAAAATAAAACATTACGTTTTTTAAACAAGTTTCTCTTTGGATCCAACATAAAATACTTCCTATAGCAGCTGTAAGTCGCTTTGATTAGTAATGAAGCCAGGTGTGCCGCACATTAAAATGTCAGAGTCATGAAGCATGGACATCATTTGTTAATTTCACACTTGAAAAAAGTGAAATATAGGCATGTGTAGTAGAGCGAATTTCCACATAAAATTATGGTTTTTTTTCAGTTGCATAAAGGTTATATTTGCATTTTACGTCGTCTAAAATCTTGCCCATGTTTCATGACCTTTAAGCGGGACAATTCAGTGTATCCGCTGGCTAATAACAGAGATTATGTCAGACACATGATGAGCACCTTCAAAGACAACACTGCTCCACAATGAGTGAAACATGCATGTGGTGAGAGATTCAAGCAACTCTTGCACAAACGTACCTTGTCAAACAGAGACTTCCATTGCTGAGAGGAGGAAAGGAGAGAGAGAGAGGGGCGGGGAAAGTGTAAGAATAAAGGAGTGAGTGAGAAGAAGAGGTGAACAGGAAACATCTCAGAAACAGGTGCATGAGCTGAGAGGAGCACCTGTTTGGAAATGATAACTCTTAGTAAAAAAAGGACACTCCTCTCAGTGGGCTATTTGTCTTAATTGTAGTCATGGAAACACATGCTGTTATTATCTGATCATTGTGCCTAATGAGGCGTAGGAGAAGATAATAAGTGAGGATCATTATGGGGTCTCTATACAGACACATATACGAAAAGTGCAGATCCAGCTGTGCATTGGTAAAAACGTGAAACAGTAGTGGTCCTATCTGGACTGAAAGTCAATATGTTGTGTGTCTGTCGACTCACGTCCTCTGGAGCCACAGGCAGGACGTCGGTGCTTTCCAAAACCTCGATCTCCTCGCCCTCTGCGTTGGCCGCCACCGCCGGGGAAGAGTTCACCGGCGCCTCCCGGGTCCCGCTCGTCATCCTCCGGCTGCTGTGCTCCAAAAAAAAAAAAAAAAAAACACCCCGCGGAGAGAAGCGACTCGGTCCTCAGCAATGATTCAACATAGTGTACACCGTCTCAGTTCGCTCCCCGTGTGCGTCAAGCCCTCACAAGAGTCAAGAAAGCTGAGCATCGTGCCCGCTCCTGTAACGTCTTCAATCAGGTTCTTGGATTGTTTTTTTTTTTTTATGGTCAGATTACTCCAGGTGAGATAAGAGGCAAAAAATCAAAGAAATGTGTTTTAAGCGTCTCCGGTCAATCCCAGTGAACCGTCTTCCAATCAGACCTGACGGACATCTGCAGAGGAAAAGTTGGTTTGTTGATAGTTTAGTAATAGTAGTCTACTGAGCTATACACAATCCATTTCACGGTCTTGTTAGTCAGCAAGAGGCAGAGCTGCAGAGCTGCAGAGCTGGAGGGGAGAGAGCCTGGACGTTTTCTCGCCACGAACCGAGGCAGCGGTCCAAGTTTGAGAAGCAAAGGGACACACATTGGCGGAAAGAGTCTTCACACTTGGAGAGATGCGACGCAGTAGAGAGCGCACATCCATCTGAAAGAAACAATGACATCATCAAACACAGACTAGGACGAAGATGATAAACGAGAAAAAAAAGGGAGAGGGGGGGAGCAGGTCACAAAACTCGACTTAACACAGTGTATATTCACATGGCAGTCCCCGAAAGAGAAAGTCCAGGCAAGTGCCCAATTTTTTTTTGGTGCGTCATGCCGCCAGATACCTGGCACGCGGCTCTGTTGCCGGCGGCGCGAGCGCGCGGGGGGGACAGCTGCTCTCTTCGCCGCGTGCAGAAGGGAAGCTTCAAAGAGGAGGCAGGAACACACCGAAACGCCTCCGCCGGGATGGTTTGGTTCAGCTCCAGGAGACGCCGACTGGGACTCTAGCTCCAGCTGCATGCGTCCTCTCAGGCGCCGAGAGTGTGAGGAGCTAGGGAGGAGGGGGGGGGGGGGGGCGGAGAGAGAGAGCGAGAGAGGGGGAGGCAGAGGGACGAGGTTTGGCCGGCGGTGAGGAGGGATCACCAGACACTCCCACTCATGGGGGCTTCGAGGAACTCCGGCTCTGAACAGCTGGCTGTCACTGTCTCCCCGGCTCAGAGGCGGGAGTCGGTGTGAACGTCGACATTTAGTAAAGTTTTATTGTTAGGACACACTACACCAGAGTTATGTTTCATAATTTAAGATTATTAGGAACAACTCTAATTGCATAGGGATGTTCTTTCAGATGAGCTATTAAAGCCATCAGCAAAAGTTTGTGAAAAATCTTCTGGTAGGTGTTTATCCAGTTTTAGTCTCACATTTATAGCCTACATGGTTTTTACTAATAACCTTTCAAATCTAGTTTTAATTAGCCTATTTAGAGAAAGTTGGTCATATAACCCTGTAAAGAAGAAAAATCATCATTAAATCATCCTTATAAATGCAATAGCTTAAAAGACTGAAGTGGGAAAGATCATTTATAAAAAACGTGTCAAAATAAATGGTATGGCCAGGAAAATCTAAATTTGTTCTTATAATTGGGCTCTAATTAATTTAGAATTTGTGTTTACTATTTACAAAATAAACAGTTAAAACCTTGCATAAAGATAACATAAGATAACATAATGTAAACAAGGTGAGAGTATTTTTTTTTTTTTTTTTACATTCAACCAACCTTCAAGTAAATCCTGCACTCAGTGTTCAGAGCTTTGGGTACATGTTTGTATTTCATTCATATAAAGCCCTTTTAAAACTTAGAATCAAAACATCACTTTCAGGTATATGAAAGCTTTAATTATGAAATGGTTGGGCTATGCTTTTCAGAACTTGGGCTTTAGGGTATTTGTGGTTCAATTTTATTACTGACCTTGAAATTAGCAAACAAAGCTCCCCCCCACTTGAGGACGTGAACTTGCTCTCTTGTTCCTTGTTCTGCGTGGTTGTTGTGTTGTGTTGTGGTTGGAAGACAGCATGACTGGGTTAAAAAGCTGTTTGAGTGTGGAACAAGAAAGTAAATGGACCTCGAGTTGTGATAGTTATGGGGTTACAGGTCAGAGATTAAATGAAAGTTATGAAACACCTACAATACATTTAGGAAGTGTCAGTGTCAAAGTGGTAAATCAATATAATATTCCTCCTGCATGTCTGTTATTGGGTCTGTGCTGCTCATGAGTGGATTCAAACTCTCTGCTTTATTTTGTAGAGAGCACCCAGTAACACACTCTGCTGAAGAGGAGTGCTACGATCAATCATAACGTGATTTGAGGCTGTGCGTATTCTCCAATAATTAAATCATGCTCACCAAGGTCAGTGGAAATGTGATTTCCACCGACATCCTTCAGGATTTCAAAGATAACTGTGGCAGACGGTCATAATAATTCTTAAAAATGAATTGTGATTATCACTTTAAGTTCATTCTTTATCTTCATCTGTTCACAATACTGATATATGACATATTTGTCATGCCATATTTCAACATGTGTGACCCTGGTTTATTGCCCCTTCTTTATGTAAACTGTGTGTTTGCTCAAATATCTCTCTCCGTGCCCTGTCAATATTTGCTGCAGCAATGACCCATTTTTTCAGACGGGTTCATGCACATTTAATCTGATCTCCTCTTGTGTCATAAATACTAATCAATCAGGTCCCTCAAACAGCATGCACTTAAACTCTTTGAACGTCTGCTTTTAAAGCCTTCGCAAAGGAGGGAGTGTCCGAGGTTGTAAATTCCAGGTTGTTTTAGAGAAAATAAACTGTCCCCTCCAGGTCTGCTCTACAATCCCTCCCAAATGATGGGGCCCCCCGCTTTCAAACAAACACCCACCTATTACCCTGATAGACATCAAACACGTTTAATAGATGGGTGGAAGCCTTACGCTGTATGAGGAGGAATGATGTGACGGTGTTAGTGTGGAGGTTGATCAGTATCCATAGTGAAACTCCCCCCAAGATACAGTATATGATAGCATCGCCATGGAAACAATACGACCAGTTGATTTTTTTTTTTTAACCCTTGGGGTCTTTTGCCTGCCTCCTACACAGCAGTGGTGGGTTAAAGTTGAAGTCTATAATGTAGGCAGGAAAAAGAGCCAGGAGCAAGAGATTAGAAAAGCACAGCATCGTGGTGTTGTGATTCTGGATGGGAAAAAAAGTCTTATTGAGTTTTGTTCACTTCTTGTACTCTAAACCACAATATTAAGGCTTGTATAAACAGCCCCACAATGACTGACTTTTACCTTTTACATGTACAGAACTTAAAACTTTAACTCTTCTGTGTACATGGGTGACCTTTGAGGACTGACATTTATTAATAGAAGATTAAGACTGCAGGGTGTAAAGGGTGTTGGCATTTACATAATGGATTTATATTTCTGGATAACATGTCTAGATGTATACATTTACAAGAATATAAATAATCTCAGGTGATTAAACAATTAACAAAAAAATAAAATCATGTGGCGGAAATGCTCACATTAGGTAAATGGTAGAAATCACATTTCCCCTCTGACCCAAACGTCTTCAATCAGGCTTGACATCTATCAGGCTTATGTGCAAGCATATTTTAAAGTCCGGCCCCCACAGTGTCTGTCAAGTAAAAAGCTGAACCTTGTACAAATGTAGTTGATGACCCCTGCTATAGGGGATCAATAAAGTAATCAATCAATCCTATCCCTCCACCCACTCACCCACCTATCCATCTTTGGACCAAAATGTCTACTTTAGTATGCATATGCATATAAAAAGATAGATAGAAGTAAATACATCTATTCTTTTATACACCTTATCATAATTCCCCGAGTGTTGATCACTTTTCATCTTTCATAATACCAAGAAGTAGAAGAGGAGGAGTTACCCTCTGTGACTACAAGCACTGAAGGGAATATCCATTACAAACTGCTAATTGGACAGAAGCAGCTTCGACAGGCTCTCACACTTCATGTGCTAACAGCAGCTGAAGCGCTCCAACATGACAGATGAGAGTGAGGAAATGAGCGAAAGGAGGGGAAGGAGGGGAAAGAGGGGAAACAGTGTGAACAAGAAGACAAGAGTAGCAGCTATATGAGGGTGAACTTAACTCTGTGTAAATTAGCAGCTGGGGAGTTCTGCTTCTGTTTTAAAGGGACGCTCTCAAAGTTGTTCTGGTGGTTCTGTGTATGACTCACTTGTGATATCCCAAATGTGTTCAAATATTCATTTTTGAAAAAAACATCTTACACACTCGAAATTATATAAAAGTAAATCACAAATTATTAAGATTTTTCAAAAGGTACGGTCATGTGTGCAGCAGGTTCAACAGTATTGGATTCCTTTTCGCAAACAACAGTCTCCCCCTGCTGGTCGATTGGACAGAATGCAGGGTTAAGGCATTTCCACTTCATTTTAAGATGCTAAGACAACTTCTGATATTCATCCTTTGTTAATCCTTACTATTAACCAAATGTTTCAACTAACCCGTTTCCTTGCTTCCTTCCTTGTTTGCTTGTGATACCTGTGGACAAAGTGGCACCTCTTCTCATTGCTGATTTTGTCCTGTACTTGTGTAAATGTTTTTTCTTTAAAAAAAAAATATATATATATATTATCCTGGTATTTTAAAGAAATCTTATCAATAATCTTTGCTGTGAAAAAAGGATGTTTCTGCAGTGTGCTGTCAGTGTGCTGAGACGCATCAATAGTGATATCAGTCTGTTTAATTACCAGCTAAAGGAGCTTCAACTGTTCACTAACCCTCACTAGTCATCCAGGATGTTGATGTGTTACAGCTGACCTAGTGGACCAAGCATGGTTCATTCTGCAAAGTGAAAAAGAAATGGATTGAGTTTAAGCGGTATGGCTTGGTACTAAAGCTCTAATGACTTAGTGTCCTCTTTGTGTCAAACATACCTTCAGGTTGTTTTTACCTGGCATGAACAGGGATTCAATTTCTTGATTAAACAAGTTCCTCCTGCAGCCGGTCTCTGATTGACTCACATAATCACAGATACTCATTAGAGAGAGCAGTAGCGATTTAAATGTCCCAACAAAGCAGCTGCTGCAAACAATTCAGCCTCTGATGTTGAAAATGTTTTTGAGAACTTCACTGATTACACAACCGAAAGCTTTTTAGTGGCTCTGCAGTGACTCAAAGAACAGAATTCACTTGAATTCACTTAAATGTAGGCTCTGGTTGTAGGATAAACAAGTCAGAGAAAGATTGTCTGGAAGAGAGAAAGATTGAAGGTCAAGAGAGAGAGAGAGAGATGTTACTCTCTGCCACATATCATGTGAGAAACTCAATGCCCTTTTGGTCCCACCAAAGTGATTGTGATTGCACTGTCGATATATTTTTTTGTTCTTTGTATGAATTGACCAGGTGGCAAATGAGTTTCCCCGCCGAGGATTAATAAACTTTCCTAATCTAGTCTAAAGGTGCTCCGTACAAATCTTCCTGTAAAAACAATCACACAGGTTTAATTGCAGCAAAATAGCCACTAAAATTGAATTTACATCAGAAGATCTTTCAGATTATTCAACATTTCATTTGAAAGGAAACATGTTGTGCATCTGTCCTTTGACCAGTGTCTCAAATGTAGAAATAGCACACTACCTAACACCCCACTGTGATGACCCAAGGGTGATTTGTATTATAGAGAGGGTTCAGCTGCAGTGCAGTGGATTTTGTAAATCTTATTTTTATTCAACAACTATTTTCTGATGGAGAGAAGGCATATTTGTATCATTTATTAAGTCCTTATCAAAAATCAAGTGTGTACAGGATGAATAATAATAAAGAATAGTTATCTTTAACTGAAGACATAGGTGTTTAAAAGTGTAAAAAGAAGAATAAAGAACGTATGATTTGGATGATTGACTCGGTTTCAGTTTGTAAGTTAATTTTAATTATCAACCCAATGCTGCCCTCTTGTGTCCGACTAAAGCTCGCCCACATACCGTCGAACTTTTTGTTCTAATATAATTTACAACACTAATATAACCTTATAATCTTCTTACTAGAACAGGACACAATGTAGGTTTTATAAAACAATTTTATAGAAAAGTAAAAGTCAAAAAGCAACACCATTGTGTAACAGAGCTGTGACGGTTACAGACTGCATCATGTTCATTACAAGTTTAGTAGTTCAAGGCTTAGTGTTTTTTATTTAACCAGGTTGGTACCTTTGAGATTAACAAGAGAGAGTTAGTGGTTATTGAGAAATCATCCAGGGGGTTTGAGTCCTGAAAACAAACTAATCACTGATGACTTAAAAAGGCATTTATAATATTTTGGATTAGAAAGAAACCTTAGGAGGAGGACTTAGGCCTTTAAGAACGGTGTTTGCATTTAACAATATAAAGCTGGGAACATCAGCGGTTTAAGAATGATCATTCTGTAAAACATTCTGTCTTTCAGTGTCTTATTTTCTCTTCATGATGTTTTGAAACTACAGAACTGTGACTTGCTCTGACTGGTGCTCTATAAATAAAATTAGCTCGCTGATAACATAAATCTCCACGGCCTCAGAGTCCTCTCACACAAATGCTGTTCATAAACACATCACATGATCTAATTTGCTGAATTTGTTCACTGAGAAGTTAAAATGGAACTAAAATAACCCCAATGACACCAGCTAATGTAGACATGTTTATTTATTGTAAACGTTTGGAAAGGCAGGGATCAATGAATACATGACACTGAGTCTTGTGGCAAGCAGTGGTCATGGTACTGAAATCAACATTTTGGACCACATTATTGCTTCTTCTTTGACTGGGGAATCACAACTCGGTCAAATGACCGTCAAACTTCACCATGACTCGGACTAAACCTTTGTCAACACTCCTGAAACTTTACAACATCTGGGGATAACTGGGAGCCTGACAGCAATGCAGAGAAGATGGTGAGGTCATTTAAGTCTCTAAACACTGGAATGTGGTCAGAATCTAAAGCATGCTAACACAACATGTGCAGAAAAATAGCTGTAGAGTGTAGAATTTCAACATACCAACGCACGCACGCACACACGCACACACAAACACACACAGACAGACGCGCAAGATCCAACACCAACATGGGAAGACATAGTCGAGAGCAGCAGACCCTTTTGCACACTACAAAAAAAGTGTGCGTACAAACACTTGGCCATGAGAAGGGGAACCAGTTCCTGTCAGAGCGAGCGATCAAAGCTAACGTGAATGACCGAGCTTTAAAGTTACACCTGTGTTTAGTGTTTGAGTGGGAATCAGACATGGCCCTATTAGACAAAGATGAACAAATGTACAGTACCTATGTTATATACACTATTTACAGATTGTTCTAATAACAGCATCAAGGCTAATTGCATACGGCGCCACACGCTATAATCTATGACATCTAACAGCAAGTCGTTCATCTCAACCAGCAAGCAAAGAAAAAAAGCTATGTACAATATGTAACGCTTCTGTATGTTGCACACCACCGCTCATCAGCAGCTTACACTGACTTTCAATATAAATATAGATAGATATATTTTTTGCAAACAAATAGATTAAGCAAATTTGGTAGAAAATTAAATATATTTCTCTTTTATTCCCAAGAAGAGAAATCTACAGAGTGAACTGCATTTAAATGGGGGGAGAAAAAAAACATCTGCTTAAATAAGCTTTCATCATGAGGACCCTTTAATACAAACCATGACAGATGATTTTTAACACATTTTTAATTTTCTTAATGTAAATGGGAAAGCTTAATGTTTAGACAAGTCAAAATACCTCTATTATGTACTATGAGAAGAGAGCGTGCTGCAGCATCACCGCGGTCTGAGCAGCACTCTGTACATGGCAAAGCCCAGCACTGCAAACACCGTGGCCCCCACACTCGCCTTCAGCCAGAAGGTGGAGCTCCTCAGGTCTGCCTGACTCACATGTCTGTAAAAGAAAGACACACACACACACACACACACACACACACACACACACACACACACCACACTATTTAATACACATTTAAAAAACAAACCTGTAACAATTGAACATCTCTTGAACTTTAATTTGAAACAAAATCTGAAGTGTCAGTCTACAGAAGTGTTACTTAAATTAATGATTGAAAAATCTAAAGTCATGGATGAACTGATGGCAGGTCAATCGAGCCTTGAAAGAAGGAGATGTGAAAACAAATAAACAGTCAAACAGAAGAAAAAAGAATCATGCAGATTAAACGTAGACATGCCAGGAGACAATGAGGTATGACTTCTGTGTTCGAGTAGGTGACAGCGACATGGACACAGACGAAGAGGAATGGAAGTTGATGACAGCAGAATGACAAGAGGACGGAGATTAAAACAGAAAAGTGCATGTGTACAATCCTCGCACAGGAATATCTTCACTATTGATAAGGAAAGAAGATAGAAAATGAAGGTATCAGGAAGTTGTTTAAAGGAAACTCAAAGGACTCTGAGAGCATGCAACAAGAGATGTCCTTCTGTGAAAATCTTTAAACTAGAACTCCTGAAAGCCCCATTTAAACATTAACTGATGAGAGTCTCCTCTTTTCAATTGTTATATTCTATTCTTAGAAAATGATGCCTAAAAATAAAAAAAACTTAGCAAAAAAAAAAAAGAGCGAGAAAAGAAAGGTGCACAAGCGTGAAGTGATGATGGTGAAAGTTGACCGGAGGTGAAGTGAGGGTTGGAAAAGGTTTGGAAAAAAAGACCTTCTGAGTACAACCGCGTAGAGTTTGGCCCTGACCGTCTGCAGCAGCTCAGAGTTGAGGAAGTTCTGACACAAGCAGAAGGTGCACCGGTTACATGTGCACATGCAGCGCAGCCGGGCGTGGCTGAAAAAGAGATACGGGGAAGACACACAAGAAGAAGAAGAAGAAGAGAGGGTTTTAAAAAAAAAAAGAAAGAGTTAGAAGATGATACCACCATGACATAGTAGTTTGTGGGTCATCAGCAGTGAGTCAGGCTGTGGATTCAATAAGAACCGGTGTACTGTGTGTAATGATGTAACTGTGTGATGTGCAGAGAGATGCTGTGTGCACTTTAAACTGACTGACAGCAGGAGTGTGAGCCTCAGGGAGGGATCAATGTTACAGCTCAGCAGGGGAGCCCTTTTAACCACGATGCAAAACACTGTGGTATCAGCCCATCGGAGTGCATCACGTCCTGAGGGCAGTGAAGTGCACTAATGTCGACTGAAGTACATCATGTGTGATAGTGACACTGGCGGAGAGTAGGAACATCCCCACAGGGAGGCACTTTATACCTCAGGCATAGAGAGAAGCAGTAGAAATGACACACAGTTCAGCTTTTTGAACTGCAAATAAAAGAGAAGGTTCACTGCAAAACAAAAGCATAAAAGAGATGCCAATATGTAACAAATCTACTGAATAAAATCATAAAATGACCTTACTGCTAAGTTTACATTCTGGTCCTGAATGGTTTGTTTTTGTTTTGCCATTTTAAGGCAAACCACACAGCTGTTTTGGACGCCCGTTGGCAAACGGCAAACCAACAGGTGTTGCAGCGATGAAAGCAGGCAGTTATAACAGATTCTGCATTTTTCTAAGAAGCTTGACGACGTAGAAATGTGGTGAAAACTAGGATCAATAATGGAAATGCTTTAAAAGAATTCACAGATGCAGTGCCGGCTTAACACTTAAGCTTCAGTGTCTGCGACATGGCAACCTGTATGCACATCAACTCTAGGGAGGAGGGAGTGGGGGCAGACATCTCTCTTTCACTTTTTAAACTTGGACCGCAAGTTTCACTTGCATCCACCATGTCTGTATCCGTCTGTATGTATCTCTTATTCAGCTGTTGACGTCGAAACCAGAGAAGCTAAAAGCTAAAGTTTTGCAATAGATTTTTTGTCTCAGCGATTTAAATTGTCCATATTTGTAAAGATCTTTAAATGATTGCAAGGTCTTATAACATCTCTAATGTCTTGCTAAAAAAGAGAAAACCTGTGGTGGCAGCGATATAATATCAGCTCAAACATACATTACTGGAAACTCTTAGCCTTTTGGATCAAGCTTTGCCGGTGTCTCTGTACTTACGGGTACATGGCCATAGTGGTGAGCTTGGTGTAGATGTCTCTACAGGGTGCTGCTGTAGTGTTGCAGGTGAAGGACTGAGGCGGTGGCATCTTGTGCTTTCTGCAGAACTCCAGAGGAGTACAGCCGTACATCTGCTTGACCTCCTGCAGGTCGGACTTCGCTGCAATCATCATACATGGAGTCTTACTGTCCATGAAGTATTGCTGAGGAGAGAAACATAGGGCGATGAAAGACAGCGGTTAGGAGTTTGATTTTTGAAATAATGTTCCTTTTTATATATGTTAGAGTTTTACCTTGAAGACTTTGGCGCAGTATTCAAAGGAGTAAGGGTTGCTGGCATCATAGACCAGGCAGACAATGTCACAGGCCAGATCGGCATCAGACAGGTAGTCGAAGTCTGGGAAGACTTCATGAAGCTGAGAAGAGAAAGGCGGAGCGAGAGGTGGAGAGGTGGGACAAGCACTGACAGATAAGGAAAAAAGCTGCAGAGAGAGTTGGCCTGGCTTTGACTTGCATGACCAAAGGATTCTTTTGTTTTAAAAAGAGGAGAACCACATACTGCTGTTTTACTGATGCAACAGCAACACGAGTCACAGTGGTTAGAAAGATTAAACCTTACTGGGGCATCATCACCACAGGATTTGTGTCCACCTCTAGAAAAGAGCTGGCAGAAATGAAGTCACAATGCTGCAAAGTGTTTCTTCCTGGACTTGAGTGCAGACAGAGTGTCTGTGTGTGTGTGTGTGTGTGTGTGTGTGTGTGTGTGTGAAGCATTCTTCATCTAACAATTACCTAAATGTGGTTATCTAAAAATAACCTTTCAGAAGAGCTAATATAAGGACGTTCTGCAAATGCAAAAAGACGAAGCAAATGCACCCGTAGTATCTTCCCCCGTCTGAAGGCTGAGTTTATAAAAAATGCCGTGCTGTAGTTCTGTATACCTCTGTTTTTCTAAGTATGTAGATTACTAATCCTATTGTCAAGTAAGAGGAAATGCTTGCTTAACAAAAGCACTAAGGTGAACATGATAAGAAGCTTATATAAACAAGCACAGCCAGGTTAGCACAGCCAACCTGAGGCTGAGCTGGCCTCAAAGCTGACAACCTCACACAATGCACAGTCATACATGTAGGTCAATACTGTGTAGAAACATGTCATTCAAATATATGACGACAAAAGGGATTATTGTTCATCCTTCATAGTTGCTTGTCCTAAAAAGGCTTGAAATTGTATGGCCTTCTGCCTACTAACTTCTACTTTAAGGTGGAAAAGTTACATATTGTTGCTTTAATAAAAGTAAATACCTTAAAATATCAATAATAACATCATAAGATGACTGTTTCAGATCAGGTTATATTTATTTTATAGATGTGTCCTCGCATAGTTTGGGGAATCAGGGCACCACGAAAATAGGTCAAGACTCAAAATAATGCAACAGCTTATATAAATCGGTCTAATTCCAAATTCAGATAGCGGCTAAAAACCAACAAGATTATTGTATATCTGGATTATTGATTAAAAAAAAAAGTTCTCCTCCTCTCAGTCGCTTACTTTGGACAGCGCCGCGATGCACTGACCTGTATAAATAGCCTTAACATAAGAAGGGTCCTGTCCTATATTGTAGCCGTGAAGTCAAAACATCACTTGGTTAGTATGGGCGCTAAGCTCTACTAGTTAAGATGAACTGTGCGTCCCTGCAGTGCAACCAAACAACAATGAACTAGTTTCAATTTAGGGTTTAGTATGAACTTAACGGTAGCTTAGTATGAACTTAGCGGTAGCTTAGTATGAACTTAGCAGTAGCAACACGCTACAGGACACCTGCTCCACTGACTGAGCTATTCCAGCACCACAAAAACCTGATTCTAAGACAAGTCCTTATAATTGTAAAACATTCAAGTATTTCCAAATAAATATAAGAAATTGTGATACTCACAAGCAGGTACTTCTCCTGACCATAAACATAGGTTGTGCTTATGGCATAGTAGGATTTGTGCTCCTCTTTAATCGTTTTTTGGTGCTGAGAAGAAACAGAAAAATAAATATTGTGTTAAAACAAGTCATCACTTGGAGGATTAGGTCTGTCTTTATTTGTACTATCCTATATAGGCAAGAAAAGTATTTGTTCTTTAACGGTGCACGATGATAAGTTTGAATATATTAATGAAAAGTCCTCTAACCATACCAAAGTTAGCTATGGAGTTCCACAGAGTTACGTGCTCGGACCGATCCTTTTTTTACTGCTTTTAATGCTTCCTCTGGGTAATATTATGAGGAAACACTCCATGAATGTTCATGTTACGCAGATAATACTCAATTGTACATATCAATGAAACCTGATTAAACCAGTTAACTGAACTTAAAGAATGCCTTAAGACTTGGATGATCAGCAATTATCTGCTTCTCAAGTTATTCAAGTGATTGTGCTTGTCCCCAAACACCTAAAAGACATGTCGTCTAATGAACTTTCCTAGATGGCATCAGCCTGACATTGAGCACCCTCATAAGGAATCTGCGAGTTCTATTTGATCAGGATATGTCCTTTAACTCCCAGATCAAAACATTTAGAAGACAGCCTTTTTACTTCAACACCACCCTGCATAAATCAGGAATACTCTTCCTTGAAAAAACAGTCAAATACATTTGTTACTTTTAAGTTAGATTATTGCAATTCCCTGTTATAAGGCTGCTTTATCAAGTCTCTAAAGACTCTTCATCTGGTCCAAAATGCTGCAGCAAGTGAACTGACAAGAACTTGTAAAATATGTCAAATCCCTCCTATATTAGCTTCTCTGAATTAAATCTGGAATACATTTATAACCATTCTACTCACTAATAAAGCTATTTATGGTCAGGCACCATAATATCTTAACAAGCTCATATTGGGGGCTATTACCCCTCCAGATCACTACTCTCCCACAATGCAGGCCTGCTCATGGTACCTTAAATTCTCTAGATGTAGTATGGGAGGTGAAGCCTTCAGTTATGAAGCCATTCTCCTTTGGTATCATCTATGTCAGGGTCCGGGAGGCAGACGTCCTCTCTACTTTTAGAATACGCTTAAAACCTTTCCCTACTGAATAAACTTAAACCTAAAAAAAGGGTTTATTGACTGAAAAATGATAAATATAAATAAATATTTGACCTGAAATATATGTAATGATATGTTTTGGTTTTGCAGGATATGTGGGGTTGAAGTCTTGTGACTGAATCAAACTGTTTCATTTACAGTATATCTGGGACATGTGGTTAAGTAGCCTATCTGTATTGGTAACCTATGCATTAAAATGTACATGTTCAATACTTATACCATGAGGTTGCTTCCCAGGAAGGCTTGGAGGAAGCCGCTCTTGCCGCTGCCAATGTCTCCAAAGACGTTGCAGCGGAAAACGCTGCGCTGGGTCTGCTTCTTCTGCAGGTCAATCTTCTTAGCTCTGGTCACTGCAGGGGGGGCAAAACACCCAAACACACACAGACACGGTTCAGTGTACACAACACATGGCTCCTGTCAGTAAACAACAATGCTCTGCTTGAACTGTTGCGTCACCAATGTAATGAGAGGACTGATTCACTGATGTAATTACTGATGGCATGACTGCTGAGCAGAACAGCTTAAGATGCTAAATGATCCTCATCGTGGCATTAACAATGTAATGTATGCATTTATAAAAAAGCATAGTATACTTAATTTTTTAACCTTTTTTTTTTTCTTTTAAGCTTTATTACTATATAACAGGGACCATTTACCTTCTCTGGAGCTCACAGCTTCTCTGAATATGAATATGTAATTTGTGGTGTAGATCACCTGTTATTCCTGCTGCATGGGACTCCTGCTCAGCAACTATCGAATAACCAAGGTAACCCAAATACTCCAGACATCGTTGGACATCCAGATAAGTTGTTAACCTGAAGTCATGAAAATTGAAGGTTAAACAAAAACATTTTCTTTTGCATCCACTAAAACAACTTAAAGAAATGGTTAAGTATGAGCTAATGTTGTGGCCTGTGAACCAATTTTTTGGCGTTCCCCTTAATTGGACAGGACCATGGATATAGTCGGCGATATGGGAAGAGAGAGTGAGGATGATATGCAGCAAAAGGGCCGATGGTTAAGGTGTAGGCTCGAGCCGCTTTGAGAAGGACTGAGCATCTTTACACGGTGCCAGGCCGACACCTCTTGATTTGTCTTTATTAATGGCCACTTACGTCCACTGGGAGAGATATCCCTGGTAGGTGATCCAGCCCTGTTCATTAGTGCAAACCGTGTTATTGACATCCGGACCCCAGGGCATGTAGGGAAACACATCGAACAGGTCTTTCAGCTCCTCTGGTGACAAGGCACAGTCACGGTCCTGTAACACAGAATTCAATTAAAATAACTTTGTTTATCAGTTAAGAAATTCATTTGTGTAAAAGCATCAGAGCGTATACAGTTAGCATACCACAAACACACACACACACACCACAGACACACCACACACACACCACAGACAACGACTATAGTGCAGAGAGGAAAGCTTGTAAGCCATGTTAAAAAAATTTGGTTAGTATCGCTATCGCATTCGCATATATATATATATATATATATATATATATATATATAACACTAAGTTCCGACCAAGCAATCTGATTGGACAAGAGGCCTCATCACTGGGACTTTTCACAATATGTATCACTCCGCCTCAGCCAGGAGTTCAGAGTACAGTTAATAAACATTACAGCAGACTGAGTTCTCAGATAGATTTTGTTTAAGATCAGCACTGTTGTCATTATCTACATCTGAACTCCCTCTCATAAGATATTCTTTAAAGACCAATGTAAAGATTGTACTCGGAGCAGGAAACATTCCACATGGTATCTAAAAGATGAATTCTAAGAGAAACTGCTCAGTTTAATATTTACAGTCTACAGGTTTAGATCAACAGAAGGACTCCCTCAGTTTGCTCCTTTTGTAGAAAGCCATCATGACACACTGAGGCATACATTCACAGTCGGACTGTAATCGCTCTGACAGAAAGCAGATCTTGGCACTAGCTGCCACTTTGGCTCTGTGACTTTCATTCTAACCCCGTGGCTAATTCTCCCGTCAATCCCTCCTCCACTGACAACAAGTTAAATCAGGTCAGCAGGCGGTCCGCGCTCGCTGCGGCGGTATATCATGATGGTTTTGTGCTCTGCAGGGTAACTGATTAGCTTTCTGTAAGTGCCTCGGCAGGTCAGAGGCTAAAGTAAAAACAGAAGCAGGTGCACAGGATTATACCTTGTCATGTTTGTCAAAGATGCTCTGGAGGAAGAGGTAGGCGTTGTGGTTGAGCTCTGTGGTGCAGTCTGGAGGAATTTTCAGCCTAGAGAGCGCGAGATATTGCAAAGTCAATATTGAGAAACGCCTTTTCAAAACATTAAATACGGCAAACACAGAAACAGGTACAGGTGAGGAGGAGCTGCTAGCACACAGGGTGGAGTAGTTTGTTGTTAAGGAGACTCACGGAGGGAAGAGGTAATCCTGATTTAACTCCAGGTCGTCATCGTACCCGAACCTCCTCAGCACGGTCCACGTTGTTTCATGGCGTCCTCGCTGGATGAATAGAGTGTGGAGGAACAGGAAGCCTGGAGAGAAACATATGATTGAAGAATATGATTGGGGCAGTCAGTGAAAGAGATAAATGTGTGTTGATGAGGTGGAGAAAGCCAGTCCCACCTTTCAGAGTGAGCCCGTTGTCACACACTCCGTCACTCAAGTTCTTCCTCACCACATTTTTGACATCCTCCAACGCCTGAGGCTCCAGCGGGGTGTTGAAGCACGTCCGCTGTGAGCATTCACACAGAAACATCATTGCTGAGGAAGCTACAAATAGCATGACACGTTTCTTCTTTTTGTTTTGTTGTTGTTAAAGGATTCATCCACATGGGTTACCAGGTGACTTACCTGGAAGAAGTTGAGCTCGTGGTCGTTGAGAATCCCGTCGTTGTCTAGGTCGGAAACTTTGAAGATTCGAGTCAGAGCTTTAGCACAAAGTGACTTCATCTGGGAATCACAGGAGCAAAGCTAAGGTTACTCGAGGTGGGAGACAATATCAATATGGCAATTGAGCGGGATAAAAAAAGAAAAAGAAAGAGGCTGCACTTGACCTTTATAGGAGCATTAACAGCGTTAATACGATGTCATGATGTTTCTTCATATGATTGTCTTGAAATATATCACTAAATGATATTGCTGTGTTTGTGGGGCATGTATTACGTATCGCATCGTATCATTTTGTGAGTTACTCTATTCGATTCCCAGCCCTAAAGGTTACCCACACATCATGAGTTGACTATTTTGATCACATTTCTGTCTACAAATGAAGCCCAACAGCACCTCCACCTGATGAGGAAAGTTTGGACTTTTCATGTGAGAAAACACATTTTAACTCTGGTTTGCTGATCACTTATTAAGTTCATCCTCACTTTTAATATCTCATCCTGGTACAACTCTAAACACACTAAACACAAAACAAAACTGTCCCGCATAGTTGACCAGCAGAGCCACCTTGATCACAGAAGACTAGATTCAGGAACTCTAGCTAACTATAGGCCTATATCCAACCTTCCTTTTATCTCAAAGATCCTGGAGAAAGTGGTAGCTAATCAGCTGTGTGACTTTCTCCATGACAACAGTTTATTTGAGGAGTTTCAGTCAGGATTTGGAGTCCACCATAGCACTGAGACTGCACTAGTTAAAGTTACAAACGATCTACTTCTAGCTTCAGACAGGGGACTTCTCTCTGTGCTCGTCTTGTTAGATCTTAGTGCTGCTTTTGACACCATTGACCATCAGATCCTATTATACAGACTAGAACATTTATTTGGAATTACAGGGACTGCTTTAAGTTGGTTTGAATCCTACTTATCAGACCGATCTCAGTTTGTACATGTTAATGATAAGTCCTCTATACACACCAAAGTTTGCCATGGAGTCCCACAAGGTTCAGTGCTTGGACCAATTCTCTTTACATTATATATGCTTCCTCTGGGAAATATTATGAGGAAACACTCCGTACAGTTTCATTGTTATGCAGATGATACTCAGCTTTATGCATCAATGAAGCCCGATGGCACCAGTCAGTTATGTAAGCTAGAAACGTGCCTTAAGGACGTTAGGACCTGGATGACCAGGAATGTTTTCGCTACTTAACTCAGACAAGACTGAAGTTATTGTGCTAGGCCCTCAAAACCTCAGAGAGACTTTTTCTAGTGATTTAACTGTACTTAAGGAAATCAGCCTGGCAACTAGCACCACTGTTAGGAATCTAGGAGTTCTATTTTATCAAGATTGGTCCTTTAGCTCTCACATCAGGCAAATTTCAAGAACAACCTATTTTCACCTTTGTAATATATCCAAGATCAGGAATATCCTGTCGCAAAATGATGCAGAAAAACTAGTTCAAGCATTTGTTACCTCCAGATTGGATTATTGTAATTCTCTTTTGTCAGGGTGCTCTGGTTAAGTCTCTAAAGACTCTTCAACTAGTCCAGAACGCTGCAGCTCGTGTACTGACTAGAACTAGGAAAAGGGATCACATTACTCCTGTGTTGGCTTCTCTGCACTGGCTCCCTAGACAGTCTAGAATAGAATTCAAGATCATTCTTCTCACTTACAAAGCTCTAAATGGCCAGGCACCATCTTATCTTAAGGAGCTACTAGTGCCGTACTGCCCCTCGAGAACATTACGGTCCCAGAATGCAGGCCTACTAGTGGTACCTACAGTCTCTAAGTGTACATACTATGGGAGGTAAAGCCTTCAGTTACCTGCTCTTTTGTAATGTTAACAGACAAAGAGTAAGGTATTTTACCTGCTTTTTGTAAAGTGTCTCGAGATAACACTTGTTATGAGTTGACGCTATACAAATAAATATTGATTGATTGATTGAAAAACATAACTGACAAAATTCTGTCGTTCACAGGTTCACAGGAATCAAGTGCACAGGAATCTGAATCACAGGTTCGGATTCATTGAGAGCGTTGTAAAATCTACAGGATACATTCCTGCTCTTACATTTTTTTTCTCGGGGCAGTAGAGAGGACCTGTGGGGTGCAGCACTGCTTTCTGGGCATAGTAGAAGAGCTCGGAGATGTTTTTCAGGTTCTTCGCTGAACACTGAAACGTCAAAAGACAAGAAGGAAGGGACATGTGTTACACAAATGTACAGAGCAGTTTCTGTTTTTAAAACACACAGAGACGTGTAGCCCGGTGCAGCACTGACTCTGCCTGACATGTGATGCAGAGTAGGACCGTCCCTGTTTACCTACCCGTCTCTGTTAGTCTGCGGGAGTTTGTGTAAGTATACGTCTGTATATACGGCACAGGCGTGCGAGTGTGTATGTGTGAGAGTGTGTGAGCAAAGTCAGGGCCAGACGGGGTATTAACACACAGGATCTGTCTGAGCGACGAGCCCAGTCTAATTAACCAGTCTGAAAAAATCACAGGTACAGACCTGTGTAAGGAGATATAGATTATCTAGAAGCTGCAGATTTCAGAGGTCAAAGGTTCAACATCACTTTGCTAACAGCGGAGGATTTAACATGCTGTATTAGGAAACGTGTTTAGCTCTGTTGATAGAGAGGATCGTAAACATTAAGAGGAAATGTGGAACAAAGCTTTTTACAATCATGTATTCACATTAGGTATTAACTTACTGATTCTTTCTAGCCCTTCTCATTACAGTTGTTAATATTAATATTAGACTGATCGCTCTGATCAGGTGTGGTCTAGATCTGCTCTTTGTGTGAAGTCTCTCTGGATAACATCTGTATGAAGTGGTGATATACAAATAAAGATTGATTGACACCTGACTTTGGGATTCATCTTCTATAAAAGCTCAAAATATAGTGAAATAAAAATACACATTCAGTAACCCACAGCTCACAGTGACATATTCAAATCTGTTCTTATGTCCAACCAGCATTAAAAAAAACAGAGATTCTTTATTTACTGTGAAAAATGAGAAAGACAGGCAGCAAACACCAAAAAGTCTCAACATCGTTGCTTAAAAATGACGTTAAAATCCTCCATTTATTGATCTATTTTTCCTTTGATTAATGAATTAATTGTATTATAGTTGTAGCTGTATCATTAACGTCCTAAAGCATGGGGGGGGGGGTGATTGGCCATATCATACCTGTAAATCTTTTTATATTGTCACCATGAGAAAACCACTGAGCTCCTTTTATAAAGATGATAATGTTTTGACTCTCCCTTCAGGTGCCGTGGATCGTCTACCAAACTGTGTACATGTGAACTTGCAGTGTTGTTTCTGTTTTCTGCTACAGGTTCAACTTCACAGATCCTGTTTCTTCCTCTCTTCATCTTCCGTTTAAATCAGTGACGACTGAAGAGGATATTGATTCCTGTTTCTGTCCACGTCCCCTTTGAGTCTGCTGTCTGAATCGATATGTCTGCTGCTGCATGACTAACAATATCAAAGTACTTACAGGGCAAATAAACACTGCAGCATGTTTTATTCATTCTACTCTCACAGCATTAACATTCCCCCCTCCTCCTCCTCCTCCTCCTCCTCCTCACCTCTACACAGGTCTCGATCTCACTGTACTGGTTCATGATGGGCAGGATGGTCTCCATGCTGCTGTGCTCCACCAGGTCCGACTTGTTCCCCACCAGGATCAGAGGAACCCTGGACACAAACCATCGTATCAACACTCAGAAATAACATGAAGTGTGGTAGATTTTTCTTTCATCGACAAAACTTCACTATGCAGAAGTTGAACTAAAGCTGAATGTGCTCCTATAAGCGACCAACAGGGTGCCCTGTACGTATGTTATTGTGCATATGCTCCGTATTTGTAAATGTAGATTTATTTATATTGGGGCGGCAGGAGCTCAGTCTGTAAGGACTTGGGTTAGGAACCGAATGACCCCCGGTTCAATTCCCTCCGGGACCAAGTCTGGAAATTGGTCTGGAAGCTGGAGAGGTGCCGGATTACTTCTTGAGTACTGCCGATGTATCCTTGAGCAAGGCACCGACCCCCCACCCATCAGCTCAACGTGGGCAGCCTAACCTCTACACAGGTCTCGATCTCACTGTACTGGTTCATGATGGGCACACTGGTCTCCATGCTGCTGTGCTCCACCAGGTCTTCTCTCCATTGGTGCATGCCCATAGGATTCTGATTGTGCATGTGTGTGGGTGTGTGTGTGTGTGTGCGTGTATTTCAGCCTGTGTGTGTGTGGCATGTTCAACAACAGAGCTGAAAACTGAACTTCCCCTCGCAGGACTGATAAAGTATTTCTGCTTGTATGTACTTTTTGATGCGGATGATATGAAGTATGTTATTTTGTTTTGATGCATGCTATAGTTCTCGTCTGAGGCTTCGACCAGGAATCATGTTTATATTGTGATGATCATGTGACAGTGTTGAACCAGTGTACGCCCATGAGATTACGCTGGGCCAACCAGAGGAAGCTACACGTTAAAGCAATGTCTTAAGCGTTTCACTGAATCTGCTCATGTCGAGTGTTGCTGACAGAGAAGCATTTGGAGAAGTCTTCCATCCTGTGCGACTACAGCTCATCACTTCTTGCACACATTTTAAATTTCCATGGATGTGTTCTCGCTACGGAAAACTTTTTTCATTGTGTGCAGAGTTTCTCCTAGGATTAGGTCCTGTGTTGACATGCTAGTCGACAACCAGAGACACGGACTCGCTCTTCAGTCCTTACCTGCTGTCCTTGTCTGTGTTCTCAATAATGAGGGGGATCCAGTGGCTGGTCACCTTAGGACAAAAAAAAAGAAAAGGAAGCAAAGATTACCAATGTCAAAGATTATCCTACTATTGAGAGACAACTTCTAACTCACTCACACAAGTGATAAAGTTAAACTGCTCCTCAAACAAAATATGGAAATGATATTAGTAGCGGTAACTCACCTTCTCGATGGACTTTTTGCTGTTGACGGAGTAGACAATGCAAATCACGTTTGCCTATGAAAAAGACCAAACACAGAGAGTCCATGAGACCTTTACCTGAACACTCCTCTCCATGTTAACAGAAAAGCTTAACACGCTGACTGACCTTAGAGATCTCCTGAAACAGCTGCTCATCTGTCTGCTCCGCCTCTGTGTGAAGAAGAAGACAAACACATTCTGCTTTCTCCGTTTTGAAGACGTGCACGTTTGTGATTTCACACCGAGGTTAGCAACAGTTGATGCAGTTAAACCTCAAAAAGAATTAGATGAGACAATTGGGTCACTCAAAGATTTGGCAATGGGCTTAAAGTACCTGAGTAGTCCACGATGTGTGTGGGAACTCTCTCTGGTGTGACATCAGCAGGTATGGTGATTTCCTCAGCTCGGTAAGGAACCTAGGAACAACACAACACGGCTATGAAACATGTTAACAACCGCTTATAACACAGTAAAATACACAGTGTTTAACTCCATAAAGAAAGAAATGTAATGACTTGAAGGTGGAGGTAATAATCAAGATTTCCCACAAATCTATCCATACCACTTCTGGGAACTCCTCGCTGACCAGGGACATGATGAGGGACGTCTTGCCCACTTTGGCTGTCAAAGGAGACGAAAAGGAGTAAAACATCAGTGAAACTTCTTGTTAATAGTTCAGCTGTGGGAGCTTAATCTATGAATCTAACTTTGTAACATGAAGATTGTGATTGAGCTTAGCGAACTTTACAGGACATGTGATGGCAACAAAGATTTCACACACACACACACATCACAGGCTATTTAAAATGTGTGAGCACGATCCGTTTTCAGCAGTATTAAAGGAGGTAGATTTATAAAATAAAAAATAAAAAAATCAACCATGTGTCTGGGATTTTCCCTCCTTGAATGTCATGATTTTCCACAAATTCAAAGAGCAGGGATCTTTGATTTCACTTAAAGTTACAAACTATACTGAGCCAAATGTTTTTTTGGTTTTTTTTTTCTGAGAAACTTAAAAAGAAAAATAGCTGGAAACAATGAAATGATCTGTGGTTAGTGAGGTTGGACATGCTGCAAAATATCTCTAAGTTGAAGCAGCTTTTTTTCTTCATATAAAAGAGGATGTCCAAGTCGGGTAATGCAGCATAATAGTAAGAGAGGAATCTAATGCACAATGTAAAGTGTAAACAAACAGGCTCAAAATGAAGTGAAGTGGACACAGAAGTGATCACAATGAGACCCCTGGTCGGGCTGTCAGCAGCATCACATGTCCAGCTGGTAGCATCAGTGAACACTAAAAGTCTGCAGACTCTTCAGTGTGTAAATGACAAACATTACTTACGCTCTCCCACTAATAATATCCTCACGTCTTTGCGCATCTTCTCCAGCATCGACAGTCTCGACAGACAGTGTTGTGTGTAACATTTATGCTCCTGTCTTGGTGAAGGATACAGCCAGCCAGGGCTCGCTTTGCTAGCAGCTACTTTCGCATTTCCAGCTCCAGTTTTAAAACACACACACACACACACACACTGCTTCAGAAGAGATACTAACACCGTCAGGGAAACACAGCAACACCTTTAGCTTGGAAAACCAACAAGCTGTTTGAGTGTATTCCGTGTGCAGGGCTCAGTCAGTCAGTCAGTCAGCTCTTCTGATGATGTGTCGGTCAGCTAATCTACATACACTTGACTGGTAACAGCATTAGCGGGCGCTAGCAAGCGCGTGTCCGCCACGCCCCTTCCGACTCAGCTGACTGTGAGGGGCGAGCAAAGATCGTTTATTGAATCAAGATGCAACGCGCAAATGTCGAGCTGCGACAAACGATACTTTTTTTTTTTTGTAGTCCTTTATTTCTTTATTTCGAACGATTAAAAAAAATAGATGAAAATGAATAAAGAAACAAATGGAAGTCGATGGAGTCGATACATTAATGACAAATTAGATTTATTTCGGTTTGTTGGTTCACTCGATGATATTTTTGTAGTATCGGAAGAGGCAGGCTTATGTTGACCTGCTGTGAGCTCTTTGATTCTTTGGGGTGGAAGTTGAGCCATACAAAAATAATACAAAATAATCATAAAATAAATGTTAAAATATAGAGACAACAAATAAAATAAATATGAAGGAATAATTACAACCATTTTCATAACTGTGAAGTTGTAATTATGTATTTTTTTTAAATACACATTGTTTATTTGATTAATCAAGAAAAAGGTTTTTCTCTCTACATAAAATTACATTTTATTGCTGATTTGTATAATGACTTAGACTTAGACTTTCTTTATTGTCATTCAAACTTGTACTTTACAGTGCAGATAAGAACGACATTTCGTTGCATTTGGCTCGTTGTAGTGCAGGATAAAAACAGCAGCAAGTATTTACATAGAAAAATAAGGTGCAGATATAAATAGATATAAAAAAAGAAAAGCTATGTATAAAAATGACTATACAAATAAATATATTGCACGTTTGTGATGTTTGCCATGTTATATTGTATTTTACAGTCCAGTGAGGTAGTCCTGTGTGGGGGTTTGAGGGGGAATGGAGGGATTATTTGCTATTAATCTAGCTTTATTTTTTAATCTCATATACTATTTTTATTTCTAGTACTTAGATACTTTATTTATTTATTTGGATCCCATTAGACACTACCAAAGAAACAACTATTCTTCCTTGGTGTCCACTCATACTGCTGTGGCAAACTAACACTTTATAATAATGCATCATTATACATCTGTTTCTTCTATTAATATATTTACATCCAAGTATCAAGTGTATATAGTGGATTTAAAGTGTCATAATGAGTGTAGATACAGTGTGTATTATGCTTTAGAATTCCCCGAACAATCAAATTACCAGAAACCTTTACTTAAATAGAGGAACTTCTTCTGTCATCTGTGGAAAATGAGTGCACTGCATCTTTGTTACTGGAGAGGAATAAACACTTTATATACACTCAACCACCAACAACTACACAAACACTGTAACACTGATGTGTATCACATTTATTGATTTACAGCCTCCAGTGCTTCAAATGAATAGTGTGAGAAAAGGGAACCTAATCTTTTCAAAATGTGCAAACTCAGTCATAAAAAACACAAACTATACAAAATACCAACACAAAAATATTTAATGCATACACTAAAACTGATCCTTGTTTTCTGATAAATAAAAAAATGCAAGGGTCTTTTTTCTTTTGTTTCTTAGGTGCATAGTCCTCGCTGTGACCGTTCATCAAGGTGTCGCGTTGTAATCACTGTAGTCCAAGCAAAGTGTCTGAGTTCATGGTTTAACGCCGGTGTGAAGAAGTCCTGCCTGTAAAGGTTCATTCATCCAGGAGTAAGGCATCAGCCGCTTCTGTCCCAAAAGGATCTTCATTTCCCCCTCCTCAAGGTGGCTTCATCTATCAACAACAGAAAGAGTTAGGAGTGGGTATTTACATACAGATTATTTTCTCTTTTTATTCTTCTTTTTTTTTAAATCATATAAACTCAACATCTGTTAGATAACTTTAAATGCGATCCATCTTCTCAGCTTTTAACAATATAATTATAAAACTAAACTAAAAGAAAAACAAACAAACAACAATAGATTATGGGGAGTCACTCTGCTCCATAAAAAGATAACATTTGTCCTAAATACATTCCTTCATTCTTCAAGTATGGAGTGACTCAAAACAGGTGATCATGATGAGCGTACTGGGAGCCACAGTCCCTCCAGCAGCAGATACAAATTCTAAACTGTGAGCATTTCTGAGTAATATCTTATAAGCCTCATCCAACCAAACAATCTCCATGAGACGGATCTTATTACCCTCCATTGAAAGTCACAGTGTTGGGGCGCCGATAGCCTAGAGGTAACGAAGCTCGTATGGAGGCTTAGTCCTCATCACAGCGGCTTTGGGTTCAAATCCTACCTCAGCCTTTTGCTGCATGTCATCCCCCCTCTCTCCCCGCCATACACTCCCTGTCTCTCTTTATCTGTCCTATCCAGTAAGGGAAAAAATGGCCAAAAATATAACTGAAGGAAATGTCCAAGTATTTTGTGTAGGTTCCTCAGAAATGCATATATTAGTTTCCTTTCACCATTTTTTTGCCTCTACCTGATACTCTCTATTTTCATCGATATAACCTTGACATTATTTTAAGCACAGTCTGCCTTATGGGCACTTACAAAAACTTCCAATAGGTTGTTCTCAAATGCCTTTTGACTCTCTAATATTGAGCTGTTTAGTCCCGTATTTTAAGAAATCTAAAAGAAATTCACTATTATTTAACCTGTAATGTCTTTCTAGTGTGTGAAATAGCCCGGTTAAAGACAGTCAAACACACAGACTCATTAAAGGTGTTCTTAACAGCATCTTACTGGAGTAGTCCTCAGGGGTCATGGGCTTAGAGATGACCTTTGTGAAGGCCTCCAGCCACTCCTTCTGCTCCTGCTCCAGCTCGCACATGAACATAAACTGCCTGCCCGGAGTCTCCAGCGTGATGCCACAGTGCCAGCGGCCTCCCCTCGAGCTCCGCCCGCTGAACTCTGAAACAGAGTAACTGTGGCCCTCCGTGCCGATGAAGACAGCACCCAGCTCTGTGGCGTCCTGACGGTGACGACGGACACAGAAACACAGTTAAAGAAGCACAAATCACCGCTTAATCGTCAACTAATCTTTATCAGGGTCATTTTGTGATTACCAGAGGAGTTTTGAAGTAAAGAAGCTTCCTGTTTAATGAGCACAGCGTGAACCACCGCTTCTTGAAGGGCTCCCGTTGCTGAAAGATGACACAAACAAACAAACAAACCAACAAGTTGACCACAGTCATGAAAAAGAAAAGAAAGAATCAAATTCACTAAGGAGACAAAACAAGGCACAACAAATAAAATGTATTCTTTTCTAAATTCAACAGGTGACAGACCGTTGGGCCGGTTTTCTCCATGTATCCCTCCTTCAGGCAGTGTCTTGTAATCTGAGGTATGAGCTGTGCAAAGAAATGAAAGTCAGACAGTTATATAATCAAGTTTTAAAGACACTCTGAGAATCTCTCTGTGCTGAATCTTTTAGAAACGTGTCTCACTTCATTGGTTTGAAGAGTGGGATTTTTCTTCTGGAGGTAAGCCAAGCGTGTTGCCCGTATAGCATTGAAAAAGGACACAATAAGCTGTAACGTAAGATAAGAAAAAAAGAAATGTGTCATCTGTGAAACCTGTCTGAAAAGTTCATTCAGTTTGAAGCTTTAGCTAAAAGAACAGTGAGTGACATTGATTTGAATGCACGCAAGTGAAGTGTGTTGACGCTCACATGTCCACTCTCGTGATACACGAACAGATTCCTCGTGCGTTCGTCCTGCAGGTAGGAGATCTGCAGGCCGTGAGCTTGACCGATTTTCTCTGGCTGGAAAACTGCATTCAGGTCCTTCATGGAGATGACAGCTTTGGGAGACTTGGACTTGAAATTGATAAAAAAAAAAAAAGGTTTGAGGAACAATTAAAAACAACTAAATGACAAAGACAAGCTGCTCAGCGAAAAAAAAAAAGAAAAAAAGAAAAGGGGATAAGATGATGATACTGCAAAAGAGCTTTACTCACATCCTCTTTAATGAAGTACTTTAGGGTGAAGTCTTTCCGGGACAGCAGGAAGATCCTCTTGAGAAACTGCTTCTTGTCTTTTCCCTTCTTCCACAGTATAGCCTCAAACATGTCTGCTTTATATGGATCACATTTCAAATTTAAAAAAAAGGGCATTAAAATCAATCAAAGTGCATCCTATGCAGAGTGAAATGATACGTGAATGTAGATAAAAATAATAATTCACAGGATGATGACCTGAGCTGTAAGCCTGCCGATGGAAGCAGTTGTCTCCGGTGAATTCTTTTCTTTCATACTTGGCTCGGATCCACTGTTCTTTAAGGACTCTGAAAGCAAAGCAAAGCCCAGTCAAAACTCACATAAGAGCAACGACCTATTATTCATATGTATGACTTTATTTATAAAGCACCTTCAAAAACACAAGGGTTTACTAAGGGCTTTGACATACAAGCCGTAACATTCATTAGAAGAAACCAAATGAACCCAAATAAAGTGAAACAACTTTATAATCCGACAGCAGGAAGAAGTGAAACAACACAAGAGAAACTCCACTGACTTTTAAATTAATAAGAACACAAGCAAAGCGAGAAACCTGCAACATGAATTGAAAACTAAGAGGACCAAAGATGTACGATGATGTGAGGAATTAAGAGGGGATAGAAAAGTAAAGAGGGAGAAAGGCAGTGAAATAAAGAAATGACAAATAAGAGCATCGGAATAAAATGAAAGCCATTCGAACAATAAAAGAAAAACAAGATAGAAACATTAATATATGAATAAAAGCGGGGGATACGGGCAATAAAAGGAAATAAAAGCAACACATAGAAAATGAGGTTATTTGGGAAACAAAGCAAACTAAAGTGATGACAATAAAGAACAAGTTAGAAGAAAACTACTCCACATTAAATTGGTCTTAAGAAGTGATTTTAAAGACAACACAGATTCAGCATGCCGTATATCCTCGAGCTGAGCTGCGAGCTGGCTGTTACTATTGACTCCACAATAGTGTCAAACTCGAAGCATTGGTTCCTCTTTCTGAAGCTCCCCACTCCCATTCACTAAATACTTCATATGTTGATTCTTCACGTCGTACTTCCTCTGAACTAATGATGTGAACAGAAGGTGAACTGCACAGTGACTCACATGCAGTCCTTCTGTTGCGGCCGGTAGTAGAAAGCAGGGACACACTTTTCAAAAATGGCTTTGGCTGCAGAGTTCCCCCTTTCCTGCATGAACTGTAACCACAGGCAGTAAGATTGACAGAGTTAGAATAAGGACAGTTCATATGAGAGTACATTTGTCTGCAGTGGCACAGCGCGTTATCACAAAATCATAACAAAAGCGTCGTAGCGTACAGACTGACTACATGATATATCTCACATGTAACCATGCAGTGCGTTGATTATGTTTCTCTGTCATTACTCATGTTACATGTTTAGTTTGTGCTCTTTGTTTGGTTATTGATGCCTTTTGTCATTTATGCTTTTTATGCTCCTGGTGCAAGGCCAATTCCCCTGCAGACATGACAGGATCACTTTCACTCTGTCATTCAATATTTCTATGTGAAAAAATAAATAATTTAGCATGACCATTCATCAGATACCTATATAGAATCAATACAACATAAAGTCGCACCACAGTTAGGTCGCACACCATGTACAGAGGCTATAGTCCTCCTAGCAGGCGGCCCGGGTTTAAATCCGGCCTCTGGCTCCTTTGTGCAAATCATTCCCCACTCTCTCTTTCTCCCTGGTTTCCTACTCTATCCCACTGTCCTATCCAATAAAGGGAAAAGCCCAGATATATATACAAACGTCAACTAGGAATGAATACAAACTACAAACCGATACCTTGACTAGTGAATCCTCCCAGAGATCCAGGCGGATGGATTTCACTCTGTTGAGTGTGAGTAAATTACGATGTAACCCCGAACAGTTCAGGCACACAAACACACCAAGAGTACAGGAGCCCCAGTCAGGCTCTGTGAGAGAGAGAAAAACAACAAGTTTTACTCCAAGAGGCAACAGTGTAAAGAGCTGTCTGTTTGAGCAGTAAATACAGATCACAACATAATGAATTCTTAAGGGGCTAATCTGCTCCGCTCAGTGAATTCAATAGATCTATTAGGTTCAGTTGTCTTCAGCGCTCTCTCTCTCTCATTTTACATTCTGTTTACCGTCTCTGTCAGGCTGCTATAGGAGGAAACACTACAAACACAGCAGCCATCACTTCCCCTTCAGAGAGATTATTTACAAAAAGGGACTTTAATATGAAATATGATTATCGATCCAGTGGCCTGATGTAAAAGTTGATCATCCTCATTCTTAAAAACTTCATGTTATTTCACACTAAAGCTGATATTTTGGATAAAAACATGTTGGGGAAACAAATGTTGATATCAGATCAAAAGCAATATGTCAAGGTTGTGAGTGTACTCACCAGGAGCCCCGCAGTCAGCACAGACGTTGTTACCTGGCTGCCGCACCAAATCGAACAGGATTCTGTTATTTCTTTCCAGACTGGCCATAAGTGAAGCTATGTTGCTTCTGTCAGACTGACATTCAAGTCCCAACAGACGAGCCACAAGGTATTGAATCCATAGTGATTTGCACAAAGCCTTTCTGCTCTGTAGCAGGTGAAAAAACACAAGTTCTTCTCAGCAGCCAGCGGGCCAGCATTTCCTCTTAGCAGCTCAGCATCATGACGTTTATTGTTCGGCACACAAATGCAGAGGTCTAGAAATAACAGAGAAAGGAAGTGAAACAAATGCCAGTATTTAGCTGAGAGACTGAATTACAGAATTAGGCTGACGGGCTTGTATGGAACGCACATAACTTATAAAGTGTTGTCACTGATTCATTATAAGTTTTCATATGTTTAGATTTGTATTGTGATGATTTGGTTTTCTAGCAATGCTGAAAATACATTGATGAATAAATAAAAGTAAGTAGCTAAATACTGCTGTCAGAGGGATGTAGTGGAGATAAAGTATCTCTGAAAGGAATAGAAGTAACATCATAGAAAATACTCAGAATATACTTCAGTGAACCAGCAGGTTTTTTTTTTTTTTTTTTTACTGTTTACCCAGAATCGGATTTAGCAACATGAGCAAACAAAAATACACCTTTGTTTACCCTTCTATGTAATATCATATATACGTATACATTTATCATTGAAAACCTAATTTATCTTGAAAGTCTTGTAGTCATAGAAAATTGAACTCCGTTTTGGTTTGCAAATCACCAGATGAGTCTTCACTCTCATGATGAAGAATACCGTAAAAGAGAAACCACACATATTGAAAAGAGAAGTGAGGGGGGAAAAAAAAACGCTGACTCACCTTGGTGTGAAGGAAAATGTTCAAGCAGTAAAAATCAAATGCAGACCTCATCAAGAACTTTAAAACGTGTTTAGACTGATAGTCTAATTCAAGCTTGAGGCTGTGGTTGCAGGATTGGGAAACAATTCAGGCTTTCTCTTAAATGACCTCAAAATATTAACAATTTATTTTTATGCAGTAAAATAAATAGTGATGCATTAATGTTGACAAAATAGTTTTCATAAGCTGCTGGAGGTTAAGCAAATTAACCGACTTCTAAAAAAAAAAAAAAAGTGAAGCAATTTTGGCAGACAAAAAAAAATCACATGTTGCTGTTTTAGATCTGTGGAGCAATGCTGCAAAATAAAGTAAAATGTGTAGAATGTTAAATGGACTTGAGCTTGTGTTGCCCTTTTCTAGGGCTTTTTACACCACAGGGTCACACGGAGACACTCACACACATTCACACACTGTGATGGCAGAGGCTGCTGTGTAAAGTGTCCATCGGTATCAACTAATCCTATTCACACACATTCATAAACCACAGACGCAGCAGCAGGATCAACTTGGTGTTAGGTGCCATGCCCGACATGTGGCTGCAGGAGCTGGGACTTGAAGCCCAGACCTCCCACTTTACCACTGAACCACATCACAATGAGTGTCCTCTCAATTAGCCCACTAGAACCCAAAAGTTCCTACTAACTTACTTTATTTTATGTAGGCTACTTAGTTTATTTCTGCCACTGGTCGTGTGTGGCAGTATTACTTTGAGTGTCTCTGAAAGCTTCTCTTCCCTCACAGTTATCCTAACCTTGAAAAAGACAAAGCCTTTTAATGTAGCTCTCTCTATTTGGCATTATCAGTTCCCTTTGAATGAGTAGTCTGTCTCTACACACCGCCACACACTGGGTGGCGCTGTAAAGCTCTTACGTCGGGTCGCAAACGCTAAGAAGAGAAAGAAGAAGGAAACCGGAACCATGTTGGTGGTGTTGTAGTTTCACGCCGACCCGTCGGATAACAACCGAAGGGCAAAAAAAAAAGAAGAAATGTTCACTTTCCAAAAACAAAAACCATTTAATTATTAGTTTAAGATAAAGAATATGTGGGTCGCTCGGCGGTTCTTGTCGTCGGTCGCTCAGAGAAGTAGGTATTTGATGTGAAAGAATTTGTCTTTAATTCCTGTCGGTATAGTTATATATACAAGTAAAGCCAGGATGTGTTCATTTAGCAAGTTTTAATGTTAAATTGTTTAACTTTTTTCGAGGATATTTTTAGTATTATTACAGCTTTAAGCATACATTGGTCAGGGAAAAAAAAATGAGTCTGACATTTTGGAGTTGGTCTCTCTCCACCTGAGAGCTCTGGTCTCACCTGCTGTGCACCTTGTTTCATGTCTGCACCTTGATGGGACTGTTTTCCCCCCCAACAGGTCATTACGCAGGACGGTCCGGGTTGTTCCGTCGGCCTCAGCACGCCGCCCTGCCCGAGCTGGAGCTGCGGTATCTCCAGTGCACATGCTGCTGGCGGAGCAGGGTGCCCGTGGCGGGGTTCGAGACCCTGGACTCCACCCTCTCGTCCCCCTTCTCCGAGGCCTCCTCCTGCGACGAGGACGCCAGACCGCTGGATGCGTGCTACACCTCCGAGCAGAGGCAGACCATCCTCCACCTGCTGAACACCGCCACCCGGGAGCGGCTGGCCGACGTCAAGCTCCTCCGAGGCCGCAAGTCGCTCAACATTGTGGCGCACAGGACTAAGAACGGACCCTTTAAAAGTCTGGAGAGTGTGGTGGATGTGCCGCTGCTCAAGCACAAGAGTGCAGTGACGGTGTTCAACTCCATCCTCAACCCGGTGAAGAAGGAGAAGAAAGTGAGAATCCAGCTGGCCAAGTTCATCAGGCCAGAGGTTGACAGGACTTGGTTGGAGGTGAGGTTTTGATTTGTCAACACTCCCAACACCTCCACAAGTCTCTAAGCCAGAAGGTCTCCAACCTTTCTTCATCTGAGAGCTACTTAAAAAACAAATGAAAGTGGCCAAGGGCTACTTGCATCAAATCCCTTGCATTTATTTACATAGCTCAGCTGAATGAAGATACTGTTTGCACATGTGTGAAATTGCAATAATAATAATAATAATAATAATAATAATAACTTTATTTATATAGCAACTTTTAAAAACACAGGTTTACAAAGTGCTTTGACAAACAGCAAAAACAAAAACAAACTAAACCAAACACAGAAGAACATTAACAACAGTAAGAATATAACAGATGCAAAATACTAAGAATAATTAAATACAATTCAACAGAAAAGAACCCAAAGTGCACGATACCCAACAGACATATATAACCCCGACCATCACAAGAACCATGATAAGAACCATCACAAGAACCCTGATAAGAACCATCACAAGAACCCTGATAAGAACCATCACAAGAACCATGATAAGAACCATCACAAGAACCCTGATAAGAACCATCACAAGAACCCTGATAAGAACCATCACAAGAACCATGATAAGAACCATCACAAAAACCCTGATAAGAACCATCACAAGAACCCTGATAAGAACCATCACAAGAACCATGATAAGAACCATCACAAGAACCCTGATAAGAACCATCACAAGAACCATGATAAGAACCATCACAAGAACCCTGATAAGAACCATCACAAGAACCATGATAAGAACCATCACAAGAACCCTGATAAGAACCATCACAAGAACCATGATAAGAACCATCACAAGAACCATGATAAGAACCCAAATAATGATAATGATAAAAGCAAATAAAAAGATAACAGCAATAAGAAGGTAAGAGCAGTAAAAGAAATAGAAACAAGTGGTTAAAGGATCAAAAAACCCAAAACTATAATATTAATAAAAATAAAAAGTAAATATAAATATGAAACATAAATAGACTAAGTAAGATAAGAAATTACCAAGTTAAAACACAAGAGGAGATTAAGATAAGAGCATAAATAAAAGGACAGTAAGAAGTAAAAGAAGATAAAAATAGTAAAACCAGTAAGAGAAGACATTAAGAAGACGACATCACATAAAAGCAAGTCTGTAAAAGTATGTTTTAAGAAGGGATTTAAAAGAATTGAGGGAATCTGATCAATAATCTTAAATTCACATCAATGTCCAAGAAAATATTAGTACTTCATACTTGTTTGGGGCAAATATATGAATAGTGGGAAGAGGTGCATTTACCATCGTCAGATTTCTATTTTAATTTTTAACACAGTCGGTCAACCTATAGGCGAGCTACTGAAAACCTGCCCGCGAGTTACCTGTTGGAGACCCCTGCTCTAAGCAGTCCAGCATTACCTCTGAGTTTAGACGACAGAATCACTTCCTTTATGGCTCTGGTCTTTTACTTTAGATTGTACAGTACTAACCCTGCACCATGTGAGGACAATAAGTGGCGTGCATTGTTCAGTGTTGCGATGAGAAGAAGCTTCATAAATAAACACAAATTTAAGGGACCATAGTAACTATATCTCAGGATCTTTGCCAATCTGTTCTTCATGTTACAATACCTGTGTTCCCAACATGTCCCTTCTAAATCCAAAATAATCCCAAAAAGCCAAAATATTATAAGATAATATATACTTTATTCATCCCAGCAGGGAAATGTAGGTGTTCCAGCAGCCAGCATACATACATACAAACACACAACACATATATACATACATATCCCACCCATACAAAAAACATGAGCCCACAATACATAGCCAGGATAAAAAAAGTGGTATGGATGGTCCATGTGCATAAGTAGCTGTTACTCATAGATAACAGTACAAAACACTAGCTCTGCCAGTGCAGGGTATGATAGATAAACAAATAATTATTATAAAAAAAGCAGTCAAGTGTGCAAAATACAGTTTGATATATGCAGCTCAGGCTAAAGTTTAAAAGTTAAAATGTCTTCTGTCCTTACTTAAAGGGGAGTCGTTATAAAGTGCAATTGCAGTAGGTAAAAAAGTATTTTTAAATCTGTCCTTTTTGCATCTTAGCTGCCGTAGCCTCCCAATAAAAACACTCTTTTGTTCACACACGAGATTGTGTAAGGGATGCATGTTATTGTCCATAATGTTCAACAGTTTCTGTATCATCCTTCTCCCCATCACCACCTCCAGGGGCTCCACAGCAGTCACCCAGCACAGAGCCAGCCCTCCTAATCAGCTTGTTATATGATATATTATTGTTATATATTCATCTGACTGCATCATAATGTTGTGAAAGCATGGCCATTATACCCAGGCCAAAAATCAAACAGTTAAAATGCTTACGCAAGCCGAGTGAGAAAGCATGACTGATTGCAATAAATTAAAACTTTTGCGATGTGTTTATATTGCAGTAACGATTAATTTTATAGCGCAGCCTACATTTACATTCTTGACAAA